AGGGGACTGTGCAGGAGGAGCTGAGCTTCCCACTTTAGGTACCATACTTAACCTCACCCAGCATTGAACTTAAAGGATATACAACTAGATTGTTAAGAATTTGTGTCTCACATGTAGCTTCCTAGGAGGAGTGGGAAGGAAAGAAGGTTGTGGGAGGGAAGGAGAAATGGAGGTAGGTGTGTGTGTGTGTGTGTGTGTGTGTGTGTATGAGAGAGAGAGAGAGAGAGAGAAAGAGAAAGAGAGAGAGAGAGAGAAATAGGACTTTGGGAATACAAATAGACTGAAAACAATCAGTACAAACACTTTGCCAACTGATACGTGAGAGAAATGCAGAAGTTACTAAATTGAAAATAATTTTAGGTTATTATTCTAGCCTTAATTCCAAAATGAAGAGAAAAATGATTTTATAAAGTGCCTTGCATGCAGGACCTCCACTTACAGTGTTACATAACACAGGATTAGGGCTCCATCTAGTGGGAACCAGGTAAAAATGGCAGAAATACTGAAAGTGAATCCACTTGTGTTTGTTACCATCTTGATAATTCATATTATGTTCTGTAATATTTGGGGTCAGATATCAGGATTGCCAGGATTTTGGCACAAGAATCAGTTGGTTACCATGACTTCATGAGTATCACAAAGTCACTATGAGGCAAATTTTAAACACATTAAAATCAAATTTTCCTATTCTTCAAATTGCCTTCTGCTACATGGGAAACTGAGTTCAGGATGGGCAAAGTGACAGCTCATGCTTGCCATCAGTATGTGCATGTGAGAGAAATACCAGCTGAGTAATGCACTGGAAAGCTCCTCAGAAAATGGCCTCAGACTTGATATTTTTATGCCCTACATTTTTTAGGTACAAGTCTATGAGGGTTGGAAATAGATTTATTGTGCCAGCGAAGGAAGTTGGAGTTGGTTATATCTTCAAGGAAAGCGTGCAGAGAACTGTAGAAGTGAAATCCAACTGACCTCACCATTATCATGGATGGAGAGGTTATTGATGGCTCTGTTTTGTGTTTGTTTGGAGCCAAGTTTGCTCTTCCTATTTTATCCATCTGTGTGTGTGTGTGTGTGTGTGTGTGTGTGTGTGTGTGTCCAGGTGAGGCACAGACAGGCCAGTGGCTGAAGGGGGAGTCTGTGAGGTACAGGAAGGACTGAAAGGTATGTGGTGAGGTACAGGAAATGAATGGAGTGACTTCTGGTGCCAAGTTTTTGCAAGGTATCCTATAAATTTTGTCTGCTTCTTGATTTTGACATATAGCCATAATATGCTGTTTCTTGGATTTTTTTCAGAGCCACACAGCACAGTGGTGTTTCTAGTACTTTTGATGGTAGAATACTTCAGCATAGGAGGTGGAGGACATGACTTTGTAGGTAAAGTGCTTGCCTGGGAAACACAATGACCTGAGTTTGGATCTCCATCTCCCACACAAAAAGCAAGACATGGTGGCATGTTCTTATAAGCCCAGCCAGTGTCAAGGAGGTGGTGACAGGAGAATCTTGGGTTTTCTGGCCACCTAGTCTAGCCAGTTGGTGAGCTCTAGGTTTTGTGAGGGACCCTGTGCAAAAAGGGGGAAAAAAAGGTGTAGTGATAAACGACACTGATGTCAGCCTCTGACCTCTACATGGGCATTCACGGGTTCATACCTCTCCATCACACATACAGAAATAGAGAGGGGAGAGGGAGATGGAGACAAAGATAGGGAATGGGGAAGCAGGGAGAAAACAGGGTAATAGAAACACCATACCTTGAGGAAGCGAATTCTCTTTGGTAGACAATGCTTCTGACAATACCTTTCTTTAAAGCTGAAAAACACTGTGTGAATGCAAACAGCACATAGTAGGACTGCTTTATCAACTATCATCACAGTAGGGGTTATTACATAATAGGGCTGATTTATCAGCTACGATCACAATAGGAGTGGGCAAAACTCTCTGAACTATAGTAGTAGCATTGACTGCTGATATCTGACCATGTTCCAAGTCACATGTGGAATGGCGGTCCCTCCCTTTCCTCTTTTAACTCCCATATGATTTATAGACCTTATACAAGTTGTATGGCAAAGTATTAGCAATTCCTTTTCTTTAAGTTGGGTTTGCATTTTACTTGAAAGTTGCCTGGACAGCAGTTCTTACTGAATGGTTTAGAGCATGTGTGAACATCAGTTATCAGCAACATTCCTTCCTTCTATGATTGCCTGGATCAACTAGTCTTCAAAAGTTATTTTATTATTATTATTATGTGCATGGATGGCTATGTTTGTGTGTGTGTGGACATGTACATGTGGTATATGTACTCATGTATACCCATATGTGTATAGATCTGTTCTACAGCTCTTCACCTTAGGTAGACTGGCTGGCCAGCAGGCTCCTGTCCTTGTGCCCCAACCTACTCCAGTTCTAGAGTTACAGACATGCACTGCTCACTGACATTTTACAGGTGTGCTGAAAGTTTGAACACAACCCTTCATGCTCTGTGCAGCAGGCGCTATACCTGTGGGAACAGATTTTTTTTTTCTGACTACTTCTTGCCTTCAGAAACAGAACTTTTACCTGACTTGTGACCAACTAATAATATGCCTTGAGATAATTTACATCCAGGGATTCAGCTTGCTATCCCACTGCACTCAGCATGTTTAAGTTTAACCTCCTGCCTTTAAGACAGCAATGGAACAACCCTTGCTAAGCTTCGGGCTTCCATGCAATCAGTTTTTACAACCTAAGCATGCCTTTAATCTTAAACTATTACTCTTTCATGCCCCTAACAATCAGGCGTGTGTGTGTGTGTGTGTGTGTGTGTGTGTGTGTGTGTGTGTGTGTGTGTGTATGTTTGCGTGTGTTGTGGTTATCATTTGCTTAAAGAAGCCAACAGGTTGGGAGCAGCTTTTAGCAAAACAACCCTTAACAACCTATGGATATAGGTTGATGATGTCTGTTTGCAGTTCAGAGGGTTACTCTTGGCCAGTAAAGTAACTTCTTCTCTGCAAAACTGCTGAAAATTTCTGTGAAAAAGTATTCCTCATTCATTTCCCATACCACATTTTCTATGCTGTTAAATAATACAGAACAAAACTCTTAGTTTGGGACAGCCAGCATGGTCACACAGACAGCAGATAGGCATTTGTCACCACCATCCAGCTCAACCTATCTTTATTTCTTTTTTTAAAGAATAAAATTATTTATTTATATTTCTGCCACAGTTTCCTCTCTCTCCACTCCTTCCAGTCCTTACCCCCATCCTCTATGTTTCTACCCCCAATCCACTCTCCTTCCATTTCTGTTCAGGAAAGGGCAATAACCTATCTTTCTTAATGCTCCCTAAACCACCCCTTGAGTGTTCCTTTCTGAAAGAGGTAGCTTAATCCATGAGCATTCTACAATGAGGTTTCTGTTCCTTCTTGTCAGACTCTATTGCTGGTGAGTGATGCATTCCCAGAGAGGAGATACATCACCCTTGCTGGGATCTCTAGTCTCTTACTCACCAGGTTTTCTGTGGAGTCTTTCCAAGATTAAGAGTATCTCCAAACCTCCTACTTAGGCACTAACTGTCTATGAAGGGTTCCTATTGTCACACAAATTTTTCCCCTGTTGAAATCTTAGGGTGAGTAGGCTACCCTGAAAGCAGACTACAGTCTGGGTTTTGGCTAATGGCTTCAGAATCTCCACTCCTGTCATGCTGTCTGTCTTTCTTTGCCAGACAGTGACTGAAAAAGGGGAAAGACAAAATAAATCTCTGCTTATAGATCATGCAATGATTAAATGGAAACTGGATGTCTAAATTGCAGTTGGAATGGAAAATTCAATTATGCAAAAATGTTATAGATTTAGACACGTTTTCATACTGTTAATAAATCTATGCATAATTCATTTTCTTGTAGGCTGTGACAAAATAGCATAAATAACTTCATTTGTAAGATGGTGGGTTTTTTTCTCTACTCTTAATTGGGTAATGGCTAAAACCATTTAAATGCTTTTGGGTGACTGAATATGTAAATGTTTAAAACGAGCAGTTATAATAGGCTTCCAGGCAGATTTGTTTATTTAATATTACATTTATTTTCAGATAGTACAGATGTTGCATAAAGATTACACCCAATATGGTCGAGTTATTTATTTACTTATTTAACTATTTTAGACTTGCAGTGCTGGAGATTGAATGCAGGGCTTTGCACACGTTAGGCAAATGCCCAATCACCAAGCTACACCCCTATCTCTGGTGTGACTTTATGTATCTATATCACCTATATTATCTCTGATCTTGAAGAAAACACCAGACCCTTAGCATGAGGCACTATTATAGTCACTTCACACATGTTCCTCTTCATTCTTGTGACAGTATAAAGTCAGGTGTATCAGCCACATTCAGCTGATGAGGGAATTGTGTCTTCTCATTCACATGGTCAGAGGTCAACCTCTGGTGTTGTTCCTTGGGATACCTTCTACTTATTTGTTTGTTTTTGTCAATGCTTGGGAACCTCAGCAGTTTGGATGGGTTGAATGCATAGCCATGGAGCTCTAGGGATCCCTCCCCAGGACTGGGATTACAAGTACCACCTCCATGCCCGGCTTTTCCTGTTGGTTTTGGTATTTGAACTCTGGTTCTCTTGCTTGAGTGGGCAAACACTTTACCAAATGAACCATCTGCCTCCCCAGCCAAAGAATTGTTTTTGTTCTTCTGTGTGTGCTATGGTGATGGAATCTTGGCCTCACCAAGAGATAAGCAAGCACTGTGCCTTTGAGCCCTAGGGAAATATTTTTATGGGGTGTCTGGCACCTGTGACATGCTTGCCAACTGTGAGTAGTTATTTTTAGTCTTCTTCCTCTACCAGACTTGCCCCTGGGAAGATGTGTTTGTAGTTAGTGTGGTACCAAGGCCAACAATTGGAAATTAATGCAGGGCCTTGTCCCTGGGATCACTAGTTAACCAAATGTGTGTACTGGGAATACCTTTGAGAGTTCACTAGCCAATAATAAGAGTCTACTCTTTTGTCATTTAGGGAAATTATCGCCAATCTAAGTCAACCATCGGCTCCAGTGATAACTCATCTCCTCAGCCTCTGAAGAGGAAAGGGAAGAAAGATTCAAATACAGAAAAACCCACAAAAGTAAAGCAAAATGTGAAGTCAAAGGATTCCCAACAAACAATCTTAAACAATGGTTAGTTTGTCTTCTACATTGCTCATATTATTATTTTTTAAGGCTGTGCCTTAAAACTTTTATTCTAAAAGTTTAATTTTTAATTGTGTGTGTGTGTGTGTGTGTGTGTGTGTGTGTGTGTGTGTGTGTGTGTGTGTGTGCACCCAGTTGACTGCAGATACTGGGAACTGAGTGTGAATACAGCAAGTGCTCTTAACCACTGAGCCATCTCTCCATCTCCTCAATTTTCATCCTTAACCTGATAACGTTCATTTCTCCATGTTCACAGAGGATATTCCTTTTTATCTGTCATACATGAGGTTGTTCAAAGAAGACCTTCATTGGGAGAGAAGCAGCTTTTTCTCACACTCAGCTTCTATTTGTGTTTAGATGTTGGGCTTTGAGAATCTTTGCTTTGAGATCAGATTGTTGTTTAAGGCAGTCTTATTAGGACAAAAGGGAACATAGCTGTCTTCAGCACCCACCAAGAGTGCTTGCTTGGCATTACACTTTGTGTAAGTGCTGTTGATTGACTGCTGAGTGTTGAGGGTCTGCACTCATGATTTGTTTGTAATTACAACTCACCTTTCTTAAAAAGATGTTCTGATGTCCAAGTGAATACTGGGACACAAAACCTTAGCAAAAGTAGGTGTAAGAAAAAGTTTTTAAATGTCTAAGTTGAGCTAGCCGTAGTAGTTCATGCCTGTAATCTCAACACTTGAAAGTTAGAGGCAGAAAGATCAATTAGGAGGTTAAGGCCAGTCTATGCTATATAGTGAGTTCGAGGCCCTCTGGTTCTCAAAAACCAAGGTAAAACAATTTGCACTGGTCTGAGAATCCATTAGTGTGAGACAAGGATGTCCTGAGGTCAGGACAAGTACAATGAAATGGCAAACTTTCACATGAGTTTTTTGTGGGGAGGGGCTGTATTTGGTTTCGTTTCAAGTATATTCTCAGTAGGATGGGTTCATAAAATGGCAAGAGATACTTGGGTCAGACAGCAGCAGCTGGAAACAAAGTGGAGTGATTACTTTGCCTCCTCTACTCAAGGTCCATCCACATAAGATCAATGTGGGATGCTCGGGGTGAAAATGGATGGGAGAATGTTTTGAGTCATCAACAGAACCCAACCCACATATGGGAGCTGCATCTGACAAGAGGAATCACATGGGGTTCACAGCCACAGGGCAGCAGAATCTCCTGGGAGGGTTTAGAGGATGCCACAGAGATGGCCAAAGAATCAGAGATGGACAAGTGATTAAAGGTTGAAATAGCAGGCCAAATTATCAGATGGCCTGGTGGCTTGAGGTAGGATCTCATGCTTAAGGCTGGGTTGGAGAATTCAGTGAGCCCATGCTTCATAAACCATGAGAAGGGACTGAGGCTCTAGCTCATCAATAGAGCACTTGTCCCATGTGAATGAGAGCCTAGGTTCACTCCCCAGGGCAATAGCAGGGAAAAGCACAGGATAAATGTATGTCTGGTTTCCTAGAGAAGAGCATGAATAAGGGACTTGTAACTTCTAGGATCTCGCTGTGGACATTTAGCTTGCTGTTAGGCTTGCTGGGTTCTCATCCCTCTTCTGCCGGTAGCCTTAGGCAGTCCACTTCCTCCTTCCAGTCCCACTGTCCCACTGTCTTCCTCCTAATGGTGAGCTCATGTTGTGAGTTTTCTTCACTACTTTGCATGCCCATAACCTTTTATATCATGTTCAGAGACAGACATTAAGGGGGTCAGGATGAAGCAGCTGGTAGGTATTGTTGGGTTTCTATTTTATAGCAGGAAGGTCAGAAAAACAAGTTAGCTAGGAGAAACAGGCCATTTTTGAAAGCTAAAAACAACAGAGGCCTTATTTTGATGACCACATTTTGTATTTGAAAGCTCATAAAACTATATATGGACTGTGTTTTGAGATAAGATACCACTCTAGCTCAGGTTGACTAGGAACTCACTCTACAGCCCAGGCTGGTCTCAAACTCATGGCAATCTTCCTGCCTTAGCCTTCTGAGTGCTGGCATGAGCTACTCAAATTAGCTTCTTTTTTAAAAATTACCAATAACAGTATAGATATAACAGAATCCAGTCATTTAATACATGTTGATCAAATAAATGGTAGAAATTAAAGATGGTTGAGTCTCTGTAATACTTTAAACCCCACCAAGAAACTGGACCCACTTAATGCTTTTTAATAAAGTATTTAGTTAAAGGGAGAAGATGCTATTTGCCTTTTTTCTTTGAAGTTCTTATCAGTGCATAAAAGTCCCATGTCTACTTACAGTATGTGTATTTTAAGTCTTTAGGCTTACTAGTGGTCCCTGTGTGGGCCAGAAAATACAAGATTAGATTAGCATTCCTTTTGTTGGGAAGTAGACTGTGTTGAAGTTGAATGATAAGCATCCTTGGCTTTTGTGGAAATTCACAAAGAGTCTTCAATAATGTTTCTATTGTGTTTAATACCGTGATCACAAAGGGTATACCTTTTTAGTGGCCCGTTCCTGGCCTTGAGAGAAGGTGCCATTGCTTCAGATAACCTCCCATCCTAAGTGGGTATTTTCCAAGCTAGCTTTGTACTGCGAGGGGCACTGGTTCTTAAACAGCTCTAGCTTATTATTCCCTACAAAACTGTGAGTTGCTGTCAAACAAAGGTCTTGGGACTGCTTCCTCCCCTCTATATAAGGGCTACACTATTGATTTAGAAGACTTAGAAGGCTGAGATGAAGAATTTACATATATCTTTCCTATGATAGGAAAAGCATATGACCTCCCCAAATAAACCTTGATTTTCAGAAACATTTGTTTTTTATGGAAAAAAAAAAAAAGGAAAGAAAAATTAGAGTTCTGTAGCTGAAGCTGCCACTTGGGAAATTTAAGTGCATCAGCTCCTATCTGCGAGACTGATACCCAAGCAACTTCTCCTTAAAGACCACCCCCAAGATGCCCTTGACTGTAAGAGGTTTCCAGATTATAATGTCACGTGTCTCCCCCTATTTCAGTCTTTTGTATTCATTTATAATCAAAGCTGCCTTTTACTTTAATGACATCTATTTTAGTAATTGGAACCAAGTGTGTGCTTCTTGATGCTCAGGTCTCTAGAGGGCTCAAGCAAAAGGAATAGAAGAGATCATAAGCAAAAGGGATGTGTAAAGTGCAGGGAATCTAGGTAAGGAGTAAAAACGCCTGGGAGCTGCTTTTAGAGGTGAAATCCCTGTTTTCTCTGCTAAAAATGTAATGAACTGAGGAGAGGTATTCGGTTGTATTTCAGAGTCTTAAGTTTTAGGGTTAGAGTGAATATGTCAGATAATTTTCTATTATATGTTAAAATATATACAAATATTTATTTCAATGCTCCTTACTTGTATACCATTATTAGTATGATATTTAAAAAATAATTATGATTTTACTCTCACGTTTTGCTTAAAAAGAAAACAAACAAACAAACAAAAACAAAAAATCCTGATATTCAGCTATGAAGTAAATGCTTCTTGACCCAGCAATGCTACCTTCTGACTGTAGATGGCGACCTGGCTCTAGTTTAATTTTCCCTTTCTTCCTTTTTTTTTTTTCCCCCCCTGGACTCTTGTTTCTCTCTGTAACAGTAAAGCTTAATAATTCAGGCAGAGCAGTGACATATTTCTTCAGGGAAACAAATACCATTTTCTTTTGTGGCCAAGATGCAAAGTAAGATTGGTGAGTGATTGATGAAGATGGGCGTGTAGTGTATTTTCAGCACTGCCTATGATTTCAGCCTCAGTGGTGCACAGCTTGCTCCCCTTTTTCTTGTGTTGCTGTGCCTAGAAAGATGTTTTAGAAGAGTTAACTAGCTACACTTGCCACTCTGAGCAAAAACATGGTGATGATTGTTTTGAAATGGCATTTTGGGTGGCTGGTTATAGTCATTGTTATTATTAATATTGAATAACTGAAAAAATATAGAAAATATAGGCATTTAGTTAGAGATATCAGAAAAAAAGGAGCCTGTACTGTTATGACTTATGCTGATAACAAGTATTTTTAAAGACAGTATTAATGCGAAACAAAAGGTAAAGGATTCATGGTTCTTTGGCATGCACATGTGTGCCTGTGTACGTGTGTGTGCGTGTGTGCACATGGGAACCAGTATGGTTCTAGTGCAGCTTCTGACTGTATTACTTTGTTTTGTCAGGTAGCTTTATTCCTGGAAGGGACACTTGTGTATTTAGACTCCTGACGAGAGCAGGTGCAGCACTGAAAGAGGGTGCCTGAATGATTGCCCTTGAACAGCCATGCTCTTGAGCTTTGTAAAAACTGCAGCCTGCACATGGTTTGCCTGTATTGTCCCAAACATGAAGCATTGTAGCAATCTATCTTTAAAAATGAAATCACATGTATGAGGACCTGAGTGTCGTTGGTTAGGTCGTGAACCAGCTTAGGCACTTGAATGTTTCTCTGTCGCAAGAAACTTTGGGGCTAAACCCTGAAGCACATCTGGAAAGCAGGCTTTCCAGACTCCTAATCTTGAAAAGGGCATTGTGTACTAGAAGGATGCACATAGGAGGGCACCAAGATGATCTGGCTCTGTTTCATAAGTCGAAGTAATGTTTGCTTGTAGCTCTTGCTACCCTACTCATCTGATGAATGAGAGACACATGTGTGCTCTGTTTCTCTATTGATCGTTGTCACAGAACACTGTATTGTGGTATATGGATCAAAGTTAATTTCATTAAACATCTTCTTATCCTTCCTCTTTCTCTTCCTCCTCTTCCTCTTCTTCTTCCTCTTCTTCTACTTCCTCCTCTTCCTCCTCTCCTTCCTCCTCCACCTCCTTCTAATTTGTTTTGAGACAGAGTTTCTCTGTATATCACTGGCTGTCATGGAACTCACTCTGTATACCAGGCTGGCCTTGGACTCAGAGATTCACCTGTCTGTGCAAGTGTGAGTGCTGGGAATAAAGACAAGCAGCATAACTGCCTGGCTAAATACCAATACCGGCTTCTTTTACATCTAAATATTGTTTAATTTAAATTAGAAATAATCTAATTTTA